TTGTTTTAAAGATGAATGCATCTGATAATGCTATCACTGCCACCTTAAACTAAGGTGGTAAATCAGTGACTTTCTCTTCAAGATCATTAAATGCCAGTAAAGAAAACATTTAGCAAAAGAAGAGAAGACATATGCTACTGTGGAAGCCCCGTGCACATGGAAACACTACTTAACTAGAGACCATTTCACCATTCTTACTTATGAGAAATCACTGACATTCATGTTTGATTTTAAGCAGAATAGCAGAATTAAGAATGATAAAGTTAAAAAATGAAAAACTGAGTTCACTTGCTACAGTTTTGACCATATAACACCTTGAAAGAGGAAACAGATATTGCAGGTGCATTATCTGATTGTTCCAATATTTTAGTTAAATTGCAAAATTCTCTCATCCAGGTGTTACATGAATGCTACACTTCATTATAACAAGGAACCTGCCATTTCTATTAAATATGTAAAATGTCTTAACATCATTCTTCATTTGCACTATACTCAAACCAGTTTCATCAACCTGGTGTATTTCACTTGATCAAATCATCTCAAAGACTCAGAAATAGTTTTAAAGATCCCTTGCTATCAACTTCAAATAAGTGACACTTATTATGATAAATGAGTTTGGCTTGTTCAGATATATGGAACAGTATTTCAGTTATTTGCTATCTTTGGCATGCATACATTAAAAAGTTTGAAACCACCTACAGGATTAGTATAGGATAAACTTGACAGATAAGTGAAAAAAAAAAAAATGAAAAAGATCTCTTAGTGTCATTGATAAAAGAATGAAATCAATTATCAAACTTATACTTCGAGGAACTTTTGCAATCGATGCCAAAGATATGTGCTGCAGTAATCAAGGTTAAAGGAGGATATTTGGTGAGAGCAAAATTTAATCATGCTTTTTTTTTCTTTTTGTCATAATAGAATTTCTAATAAAAAAATCATGTCTCACTTTTTTTATCATGTATAATAATTTTCTTTTATTTAAAGTACAAAAAACTTGTTATGAAGTAGAGCACTACTCTGGAATAGATGTTGTCAGGTCACCAGATAGTAGCTCAACTGGTATTCGTTGTGGCATACCTGATTTTATAGCAGTACCTCATTTGTATCCAATACTATATCTTTCTGAACAGAAATAGACATGTCTTTCATTGATCCTTGACTTCTAATTATTCTTGGGAATGTCAACTGTCTTTCTTAGTGTATATCTTTATTTCTTCTTATAGGGGACCTAAATCTGAGTTCATTTTCCTCTTCCAATTCCTTGTCAGATTTCTGGTCATTAACATCCATAGATTGGTAGATCATTAGTCTCATTCATATTCTTCACCTTCAGATTCTTTGTCCATTTCTATAACCTCAGGTTCCTTTCTGAGATAATTTAGGAGTAACACATCCATTTCAACACAGTGCAGTATTTGATCTTCTGAATTTTCAGACGTTTTTAACTTTTTACTGTTTAAATTTTTTCTGGATAACACATCCATGTGGGGAATAGTGTTCCTATTTACATATATGATATTGAAATAAAAGGCCATAACTTTTATAGCCCATCTTAAAATTCTAGAAGATGTGATTTTGGGAAATTCTTTTCTGGAGTTAAATATAAACTCTAAAATGTCCTTATCTGAATTTAACAAAAATTTTCATCTGAACAAAAAATTTCAAGCTCTTTCTGTGCTCCATACTATTGTCAATGTTTCTTTCTCAATATTTGAGTAGTTAGCCTCAGTTGACGTTAATTTTCTTGACAGGTATCTTATTGGATGACCTTGAGATAAAATTGTTGCTATAGCATGTTCACTTGCATCCATAGTCAATGTCATGTCTTTTTTTGGATGAAAGATTTTTGCAATCAGTTTTCTTATTAATGCCTTTTTTAAGCTTTTAAAATCGATATTTTACCTTGGAGGCGATTTAAATTCTGTATTTTTTTCAGTAATTCTGTAAATTGTTCTATTAGGTCACTGTATCTAGGTAGATATTTGTTATAAAAATTGGTCAATCCTAAAAAGCATTCTAATTCCTTTTCATTTTTTGGTGCCAATACTTCCGATATTTTATTTATCAGTTGTCTGATGAAATTCCTTCTTTAGATATTTGCTTTCCCAAATATGATATTTTGTCTCAATTTAACTTACATTTATCACCATACCAACATTTTTTAATTTGTTTAAAACTTGTTCAGTTTTTTTTTAATTCCTCTTTACTAAAAAGCAACTATACCTATATCGCCTTGATATTTTTACCCCCTCTGATAGAACTTTTTCAATTGCCTTTTGAAAAATATGGCTTGAAGTTTTAACCCCAAAGTGAAGACAAATCCATCTTAGTAAGCCTATCAAGGTATTAATTGTAGGGATTTCTTTAAATATTTTGTCAAATTTTATTTGGTTATGTGCTGATTTCAGGTCAATCTTGGCAACGTATTTCATTTCTGCTAATTCATGGTTTGCCATTTTTATGCTAGGTAAGAGGAATGAATCAGAGCATATCTGATGATTCACACCTACTTTGTAATCTTTGCATATCCTCAAATTGCTAAAGTACAAAACAACTTGTTATGAAATAAAGTACTCTCTAAAATAGATGCTGTCAGGTCAACAGATGGTAGATCAACTGGTGTTCACTGTGCTATACTATTTTTATAGCAGTGCTTCATTTACATACAATACTACACAACTACTTTTGGGGCCAATTTAAAAAATTATCAGGGATTGCTCCTCAAACTTTTGAACTGTAGTGCACTTTATTCATACAGTAAATTTTTGTATAGTCATGGAATTTTAAGTAGACAGCCCTACCCCTTATCATTATGAGAACGGTGTGGTCAGCATGAACGGTATAATGGAATTATATGTCAGACAGTAACTCTTTCATCAACCCTAGAACACTAACCATCAATTAAAGTTAAACCACTACTAACCATGGGTATATCATACACAATTTTGAAAAATATTAAATATAAATCTTTATTTGAAATATTTTACATGCAGGAAATGTGTACTTTGAGTTAACATTAATAGGAATTGAAAAATATTATTTAGGTAAGAAAATCAGGTACTGTAAATTGTAATTAAAAATAGGAAAATTTGTGCTGGGTACTATATACCCATGGTATGTGTTCTAAGGTTAAAAATCACCATGCTTACCTACTTGGGTACTTTTCCTACAAGATTCATTGCCATTAACACAACTCCCCCTGAGCAATTATTTAATTTCCAGTTCCAATTAATTATTAAATGTTCTATTCCAATATAGCCACCCTTATCTGGCACTGTCTTTGAAGGGCATTATTAAAGTTTGACCCAATGTTAAAGTAAAATCTTTATACCTCTATTTGTCATTGCAGTGGTAAGGAGATAACATTGGCACTCTGAGATTTTATTCCAGTCAGTCATTTTGCTTGCCAAAAACTCAAGACTCACTCCTAACTTCTGTAAATTCGAAAGCATCAGATAACAATAGCAACCATTACAAAGGGTCAAATAAAGCATTGGACAGAATGAAGCTGAATCTATTGTTCCTGTGGACAAGCAAGTCATTGATTACTTGCACAAGTGAAACTTACTCATTGTTCTGGTAACAGCAACCAATTATACAAAGCTAAACATCTATACAAGCCATCTGTGTAAACTTATGATTTTATTGATGTATTGTTGTAATTTTGCAAATGCTATTATGTTGGGGTTTTGTGTTCTTTTTAATTTCATGTTTTTTGTTTTTTATACAGGGTTTACCCCAAGTAAGGCACTAAAGCCACTAAAACACAATGGGTTACTGGGTGTGGAAGAATTAGAAAACAGAAACAATACTAAGGAGCAAAAACAAAGGAAAAGTAATCAGGATGACACTAGATAGCAATTGACATTGCATTTAAATTTTTGAAGATTAAAGTTGACAAGAAAACATAGAACTGGAAGAAAGTTCCACAAGCAAGAATTGTGAGAAAAGAAATAGTATTGCAAATAAGGTTACATCTATAGCCAAATTCAACAGTAAAATGATGAGACCTCGTTGTCACTTTAGTACTGATGCTAAATTCATAAAGTTTAGGTACACCATAGTGAAGAGCTTATCCAAACAGTTGGCATGGAAGTATTTATAGAAAAGGCACAGGGAGGCAACTTTACAGTGGTGGGAAAGTGATTGAAGCTGGAATGCCAGATTGATAATATTGCTGATTCTTTGAATTTTATCAAAGATCTCTACATATATAGAAGAAGCACCAGACCATATGTGGCAGCAATATTCTATGCATGCATGAATGGTAGATTATCTTAGTAGTAGAGTAGACCTAGCAATGGATTCAATATAGTCTTTCCACTTCATGTCATCTGAGAATGTTAGTCCATGAAGGTGTAATGAGACAAAATCCTGAAGGTTAGCATCAGCCATGCTGATAGGAGGCTAAAAGAGCCTCACAGATGATTAATAGAGAGCAGTTTTAGATGGTAAAATTAATGAATCATCCTTTGCTTCAGCTAACAAGAACCTGAAAGAGAGCATGATAATTTTGTCAATTATTTGTTATACATGTTTTCATATTATAATGTCACCTCCAGTTATTCAATGTGGGATGGTTAACATCATCATTGACAAGACTGCATATATACTTTACTGGTTTGAAGCTAATGGACTGTTTTTTGACTCTAAGGCTATATAGGTTGATGTCATGTGTAATGCAATGTCCTTTGTTAAATAAAACCTAAGAGATAAATTTGGATTCTACTTCAACCTACTCAAAACTCCTAATAAATAAGAACAATTTTATATATGATCCCTTGTTTATTATGAGATTGTATCATCTTTTGTATACATTGTTAATACAACTGCAACACTATCATGTCAAGTAATATGCTATTTTTCAGAATATTGTTATAAAAGTTCATAGGACACAAGGAAAGCATAGGAGTAAGACAAGAAAAGTGAAACTGAAGAAAATTGATCTGAGGCAATGCAAATAAAGAGTAAATTAAATGAAAGGGAGAAGGATTGAGTCAAATATGAAATAAGTAGGAGAAATAAATGCAAATATACAAAAATAAGTAATGTAAGTTAATTGAAAGGAAGAGGGAGAAAGAAGAGAAAAAAAGAGGGAGAAAGAAGAGAAAGAAAGAGGGAAAAAAAAGAGAAAGAAAGAGGGAAAAAAAAGAGAAAGAAAGAGGGAAAAAAAAGAGAAAGAAAGAGGGGAAAAAGAAGAGAAAGAAAGAGGGGAAAAAGAAGAGAAAGAAAGAGGGGAGAAAGAAGAGAAAGGAAGAGGGGAAAAAGAAGAGAAAGGAAGAGGGGAAAAAGAAGAGAAAGGAAGAGGGGAAAAAGAAGAGAAAGGAAGAGGGGAAAAAGAAGAGAAGGGAAAAGGTAAAAGGCTGACAAGAAAGAGGTGAAAGGAGAAGGGGATAGTTTAGATTAGATACTTAAAAGGTCAAAATATAAACTGATAATTTACATCAATGATTTTAACAAGGAAACTGTTTTAAAGGCAGTTTTACTGCTTGTACCAGATTTGTTATGGGAGGGAAAAATTGGGACAGATTCTTCTTCTTGTATATGCTGTGTCCTTCAGGAAATGAGTGATCATGGCTCTCCAAAACTTCCTTTCTTTTGTAGATCTGGGTAAATTTTTTCTTTTGCTATCCCTCCTAGTCCCTGTTCTGCTAATAATTTACAGAAACTAATGCAGGTTAGTCAGTTTTTTTCTCTGTCCCTATTGTCTTCAGTATATTTTAAGAAATTCTCCAAACCTTCTTTCCTCATTATGTGACCGAGAAATTTCAATTGCCTCTTTCTGATTTTAACTAGGAGTGTCCTTATTGTTTCCACATTCCTTAAAACTTTGTCATTGCTCACATGTTCAGTCCATGATATTCTCAGCATCCTTCTGTAGATCAACATTTTTGTTGCCTCAAGTTTCTTTTTCATCTGAGATGAGATTGTCCCATATTCACTGCCATATAAGAGGACCAATATTTCTGGGACAGATTAGGTTTGCAATATGAAGGAAAAGAGATCAAGACATAAAGAAAGAAATGTATCATGCAACAGTAGATGCAAATCAAATGATTAAATAAAGAAAGGAAAACAAACAATAAAGAAAATCCATAATTAAACTATAATCATTATGTGAATTTAGGAATATATATTATAGGTAAGAGGATAACATTTCTTCACCTATTATTTTATTAATTTATTTATTGCACTTACATTTTTTAAAAAATGCTTTTAGTTATTTAGGATTTAGTTTATGGAATGAATATGAATTTTTAATGCATAATTTCCATGAAAAAGCTTAAACCATGAAATCAAGCATGGCTGATCATACATGGCATAAAGGGTAGTCATCAAATCCTGTAGAAAAAGTAAGTAAAAATATTAGACAGAGAACAAGGCTATGGGGACCTGCTTAGTAGTCCTAGTATAGAAATAAATACAATATGGGAGCCATTAATAAAGAAAGAGAAATGACAGCAAGGCTTCAATAGTAGCAGTAAAGAAAAAAGAAGCCTTGGTGAATGCAGTCAAGTGTGACAAGCGGCAGCAGTTTCATCAGCAGGTAGATTAAGTTTAAGATCCTAAGTTCGACACTCAGGATTATCCCATAGGAAATTAGCCTACTGGATTAAATTGTTGTTTTGTGAGTTTGTGTTCATCCCTGGGCTGAGTAGTGCAGACTCAGTAGAAATAAATCAAGCAAGAACTGAGTCATGGTAAATAAGGACTAGATGAAATGTTCCTAGATAATGATAGCAGATTTCTTGGATCAGAAACAGCTGTTAAAGATCAAAGGGCACAAAAATCAAAAAGTCTTGATAATAAAGATGAAGACAATATGTAAATAATGATAACTCTTCATCCAATAAATCCAAACAAAAATAATTTAGGTTGAATCAAATGACTACAAAATCAAAATTTTCTCTTGGACTGGCAAAATGCACAATGGCCACTATCTGAATGAAAGAAAACTCTATATTGTAACCAAATAATAAAAAAATCTATTAAAAGTAGAAATTCAGAAATAAATTTTCCTGTTTATTATTAAAATGAGAATGATACCCAGAATTTATAAATTAATATAAGAGAAAAAAAATAAAAACAAAATTCTTCTTGCGATTATTTATACTATTTACATTGTTTGGACTGTTGTCCTCATCTTTGTTGCTATATTCACAGTTTCAGCTGTTGTACACTCTGGCCTTCTTCCACATGCCATGCCTTTTCTGCATATCTCAATTTCAGTTATTTCCCTTTAGTAACTCAACTCTCCAACGTTTTGTTCATCTCTGCTGTGGTCAGGTATTGAATTCACAATTCTTTAGGTCAAGTCACTGGATTTCTTCAACCAATGCTTTTATCCACTGATCCATGTGACTAAATAAAGGGTTCAGTTCAAAATTCCCTTGTATAACACCTGATGATGGCTGAAACATTGTGAATATGACAATAAAGATGAGGATAACAGGGTGAATAATGTAAATAATTACAATACCTCATCTCAGAAATATAAACAGATGTTTTCCTGTGATGTTTAAACAGTAAGAAAAGGAAAAAAATCAAATTGTAGCACATACCTGTGAATATTACCCTGGGTAAAAACAGCAGAAAACATTCATTATTTACCAAGCTTAACTTAGTAATCATAAAGCCACACATATGTGGTATCCAGTGAGGATTGAACTCATTACAGTAGAAACGGTCAACTAGACTATGCTGAAGCATCCAGACAGCAGAAAACACTTGCTAAACACTTAATGACAAAATGATATTATATCTTAAAACATTAAATGATTTGTAAAAGAGTAACTTGCTCAGAGCAACCATTTGCTGAGAAGTCAGTACTTGTTATAACTTTTATAAACACTGAGAAGAACAAAAACAGGATGTTTGTATAATGTCTCCAGTTACCAGAAGATAAAATAGAATAATTGAACTTGTCAGTAATTAAACAAGGGAAATGATTTAAAATGTTTCTTTGCTTGCTATCTATTTAATTTTTTTTCCAATAGTCCAAAATTCAGCCAAATGATTTCTTCATGGTATGTTCATCTTGTCTGGTTTTCTGCACATCGAGAGCACTCCTCACGACTGAGAAAAAGCTGGGGTTATATTGCTCTCTCAGTCCCAGGCCCATACTGACTATTGGCTTATACCTGTTCAGTGTCATTCGTATGCAAATTTTGTCTACTGTAAGTAGAATGTCCTCTCTCAACAGCTAATTGTGGAAGAGGAGTTAACTCTTGGGGCTTACTGCCCCACATGAAACCAACTCTGGGTCTCTTTTCAGGTTAAAGCAATTCTCCGTTACACATGGTTTACTACAGAAAAAAATTTCCAACCATTTAGGCTTTATGTCAGACAGATCAGTTTATCGCTAAGGTTTTTGTTTCATAGTTTTCTTCCTTCACACAAACCCAACCAAATATTCACAGAGCTTTGTTTGACAGAGCTGAACTATTTTTTATAATAAATTTCTATAGTTTTGTTTGCTATGGAAAATCAATGAAATATAAAGAAATGGTAAAACTAGAAAGACCAGTTATGTCAGTGGGCAAATGATAAAGTGAGAGGCAAGTACAAGATAAATGTCTAGTGTTTTTACTGTTTGACACAAATGATTTTATTGAGAGAGATAGTAAAAAATAAAGCTTCCATTTCATGATATTATTATCATTTTATATTAAAAGTGAAAATATTTTCAAATAATTGTTTATTAACTCTTGTCATTTACTGAAAAAAAAAAGATGGATATTAACAGAAAAATTTCAAGTTTCATACAGTTCTACAAAACCTACTTGTTTGAGTGCCACATGAGACTAGAATTAGAAAGTCTCTCATTTTAGCAATCATCTATCCATTTTGATACACTTTCAACTAATTTAATAACACTACATAAATAGGAACTTTGGCAAATGTTTTTGTTGATAAAAACACAAGTAAAAGTGCTAAGGTTCATTCTACAGAAATTGATGTAGTTGAATGTTTTTTAAAAAAATATTTTTTTAGTGGAACCAGTTTTCTATAGGATCCAAAACTGTATCAATCAGTCCCAGCTAAAAGTACAACTTAATACATCAAAATTTATGGAAAAGCTGAATATAAAAAAATGCAGCAAAAAACTTAATATAATAGATCCAGTTTTGTTTAACTGCCAAATTAGGTTTGTTTAATGGCATATCATCTCCTTATGGGACATTTAATACTGGAATTTAATTTTCTTGAGAACTTTGGTAATTTTTTTTTTCTTTTCTATTAAAATTTATTGCTGGAAATTTTTACTATAAAAATGTATTTTTATACTTTCATAGTATTTTGACCCTACTTTGATGATTCACTAATTGCCCATAACTGGGACCACCTCAAATCAGGGTGAATCTGGAAACAACAGCAATTAAGAGGTGGTTCTACACTACACAAAACCTCTATCCTTGCTGCCAGATGTAGTTTGTCATACCTAGGATGATAATTGCCATGTTCTGAAAGGACATTGTAGGTGGTGTCACCATACTTTGATGCTGTGAAAATGCCCAGACATATATCAATTGTGCTCTGACATCTTATGATTCAGTCTGAAGATTGGTTAGGCTGATCACAGAATTTTAATGGAACATGATAGAGGGCTGTAGAGTGATGGGATATTCCATTTCTGAAATTGTGATCATATTTGACATCCTTTCAACTACAGTGTCATGAATACCAAAAGTACTGAATGAAAGGCATTAGCACCCATCATAGTTCAGTGATTGACCACAGGCCCTTAATGATCAAGGCCAGAGGTATCTGGCTACAATTGTGTGCAGTAACAGACAAATGACCCTCAGCATTCTTTAGCTTCTATGAGATATGAGGGCAGACGACTCACCAGCATGCCCCTATTAATAGCTTGATGCTGGACGTGTTTTGTCTTGGCTCATGACATCATTAAATGAAGCCTGGAGGACAGGCAATATGTAGCACAATCCAATGAGTCACAGGTTCAGTTGTTTCAAACTGATGTTAAGATTCAGGTGTAATATGGACCCCAGGTGTCAACAAGGCACTGTCGGTTCTATAATGGTACAGAGTTTGTTCATATGGCATGAACCTACTGGTGAACCTACACATGTTATTAACTGCTACATTTCACTGCTTCTTAACCATTTGCACCCATTTGTGTGCCACAATGAATTATTCCAGCAGAATTGGTTTGAGGAGTATTCCAGAAACTTCCAATGATTGATGTAACCACCATATTTGCCTGACTTGAGCTCAAACAGTTATAGGATAAGCCTATTTGCATACAAAATCTGACCCCCACAAATATCTGGGAGCTGTGGGCAGCTAGTGAGATGATATGAGTCAATATCTCTTTAGAAATCTTCAAGATTGCTGAATGAGATTGTAAAAAGAGGAGGTACAATGTTCTGATTATGAGGATATGTA